TGTCTATTCGAAAATAGAATGGAGGGAATATCTATTTGGGGCAAGATTGACAGCTAGTCGACTCTACTATAGTCCTAAGGTTGTTATTATGTCAGCTCTAGAAAAGATAGGCGAATTAGTGAGGAAATAGGACATCAGGACAATTTATTCTGAGAAAATGATGCCTTTCTCAGTAATTCCCTCTGTTCTGAAATATTCGGACTTCCTCTCCAGATCAGGCTGTTACACAGTTTTGTGTTAGGGGGAGGAGGACTTGCTGACATTAGGGGTCATCTAAACAAGCAACCTGAAAGGTTTGTGGGTCCGAAAATTGGAACGGGTCGGGTACATAACATATACAGAACACTGGATAGGCTTATGAAAGGCCAGACAATTAGCTGGGTACTGAGATTATACCAATAAGCGAATGCTTATAGAATCCATAAAAATCAACGAAACTGACGACACCTTTATAAGAGGGAATGAGCGTAGAAAATTGCTTGTCCTAGTGCTTGCCGAATTATCGTTAAGCATGGTATCTGACGTTATCTATCACATGATGGACGAAAGTTAAGCAAAGCTTCCCCAGACTATCGAGACGGTTCACCAAATTCTTATTCACACAAGGCTACGGCTACTGGCGGAGTCACCTTACGAATTCCTTCAAATTGCTTTTTCATACCTTATAAAATGTACGGACATCATAAGGTGGCTTGAGGCCAAATAAGAGTTTCTAAAAGGTATTTTATGTTTAATGACATAACCAGAAAGTCGGTCGAAGTTATGTCTCGTTTAATACTTGATATTTTTAATGGGTTTCGATGAATTTCATTAGATAATATTGTTGGAGAAGCTTTCATTTGGTATTAAAGTGCATGAAGAAGAGATTATAAAGTCGATCATACTAGAAGACGACGGCTGATTCCTGTTGAACTGCAACCGTATAGCTTCAGTTTGGGGTTCAGATTGACGCAATTCGCAAGACGTCTTGCCTAGTTTTGAGTGAAACAGAGCTGAGCTTTCATCATCATATGATGGACATCATCAGAACTGAAACTTATTCTTCTAAAAGTCTCACGTTAACACTAGGTCAAGAATATTACCCGGCCCTATCTTACCTCTTAACTATTCTCATAATTGTTTTTCTGATGTTAATAAGGGAGATGTCACCCTTAAACTAATTTTAAATAATAAAGGAAGTGTGATGCATATAATCTCACGTTTTTTATGCAAAGATCTACAGAAAGCTGCTGATTTTTGGCTGTATTCAGTTAAAAAATTTTGTCAGTCTGTAAAACTAGCTTATCAGCAAATAACATCAGAAGAAGATAGTTTAATGCGCTTTAATGTTGTGTCTATGTGCACAAACATTCCTGTTCAAAAAGCTATTCAAGCTCTAGTACAAACTCCGAAGGATCATCCAGAGATCACACAAGGAATAAGGTTGAGCATACCATCCATACATAGACTTCTTAATCTATCCAGGAGTATCAGCTATTTTATCCTTCTTTTAAAAGTAGACTTTCGAGACTATGGGTAGATCATATATATGAGGTGCATTCATCCTATTTCGTTTAAGGTGATAAAGGGAAGAATACGGCTCATATATAGGATTTATTGGTAATCTCGAAAGACTACTTACAAACGAAAAATAAGTAACATAGTTGCTTGCTGTAGCAAATCCAATCTTGCTTCATCGACAATCCCAAAATAGAATGTGATATGGGAAAATGCCTGGCCTTCTTTGTAAGTAACATCAACCCTGTAATCCAAGGGCACTCGTGGCAATGTGGGTTAGTGGTTATCGTGTCAAGATTACGCGCTGAACTGAACACCGCATGGGGTGTTGATATGGCCTAGGCGAGGTGGAAACTACAGTCCACTTCGGATGATAACTCCTTTGAGGAAACAAGACTTTGTGAAATTCAATGAAAGCGTAAGCTCTATTTATGCCATTGTTAGAGAATTCAGCTAACGTTATCCCTTTATCACTCTCGAAAACCTAATTATAAACGAAAGATTAGGATAACACAAAAATGATTGTTAAAGGTAGCTGGGTCCAACGATCACAAGCGGCCGAACACATGGCAGAGATTAGACATGAGATAGAATAGTCTCAAATGATAAGATTTGCTGATTATGGTACGTCTGTATAGACTCTATTCATGCAATTGTGGGAAAATTCTACTGCCAGTCCTTCATCACCTTAAACGAAATAGAGTGAATACATCTCATATTATTAAAAGGAATATAAGAGGTCATTGAAAGTAATAGGTTAGAGGATACTTTTACTGTGAGGAACGAAGGTAGAAAGTTGAGTAAGGACTTCTTATGCTTGATAGATAGATTAAATGAGAAAAAGGGGGATGAATCAGAATATAAAAGAGTGCGACTCAATTTGTCCGCTCATTGACGCTTCTAACTTCACTCATACTCGTCCAACATGTCAGTTTGAGCTCATCTACCAACGCAGCTCCAGTTATATCTTTCTTTGGGTTGTTATACCTTAATGACCCTTGGCTGAGTGGTTATACCAAGTCGTTTCGTAACTTGACTTACACTCATACAAACTTACTTACGCAGTCTCGGTCAGGGTTTCTTATTGCATGACTAGGCCTTGATGACCAAAGCCTGACATTGGGCTTTTTTGATCCCTCTACTTTGGGACCGGTATTGCGTCTATACGTTAGCACACACATACACTCGTGCAAAAGTAGCAGGACCAATATGAAATATAAATAGCCAAACCATCTTATATTTATCTATGTCTATTCATCTTTGTTTTTAATTATGAGTATATTCAAAAGGTAAGATAGAGCCGATTAGTCTCCTTGACCTATTGTTAACGTGAGACTTGCAAGAATGAGTTCCAGCTCTGATTATGCCCATCATATGATGAATTAAGGCTCAGACCGTTATTTTGTGGATTGCGTCGACCTAAACTTCGTATTAAAGCCAAACGACTACAGTCCAATGGGAATCAGCCGTCGTCTTCTGGTGAGTTCAACCTCCGACTCTCTTCTTCATGCAATTTAATACGAAATGAAAGTCTCCCCAACAATGCGAATATTGTCTTTGGAAATTTCAAAGAGCTAACTTATAATCAGTTGAACCATTTTAGTTTGGTACAAGGATTTTAACGAAAATTATGTGGCTTCCCAAAATACATCAATTTTTAACCATCACCTGAGTGATGCTTGGTTGAGCACAGCTTCTGTTGAGCTCCTTAATGTAATATTAGTAGCGATGCACGGCTTCTAATTCTTCAATGCAGGAAATGATAATCTATCTGGCTTAATCTTTTTATTGAATTTCATCTGACCTATTGTAAAAGAAGTATTATTACAAAAGAAAGTCGCATCTAATGCTTTTGTTCTTAATCAAATAGTATATGCTTAGATCGTAGATATGAAGACCAATATGGTGTGACCTGTTTTGTCGTAGTCTCCTTTAGCTGAATAGTGTTGGTTTTACCCCGTTTTCGCAACTTGCTCGGGGCAACAGGGAGATCTTGTGGAGCGTAACTAGTCTTGCATCCTCTGCAAAAGTATGCGTGATTTCCAGTATCGAACTGTTGACTTGGCACATTCACAGACGTTTCGCCAGCATCATCAGTGAAAAACTCCATCTTCACTTGTCACTTTGAGAAGTTGTAACTCTGTCATTACGATGGCGCCTCTCAGTGACGATGCCGGCATAACGTCTGGCACTGTACCAAGTCAACAGTCCGATACTAGAAATCATGCATACTATGGCAGAGGACGTAGGACTAGTTATGTTCCACAAGATCTCCATATTGCCACCCCCCAAGTTGCGTAAACGAGGTCAAACCAACGCTAATCTAACTTCTGTTGAATTTAACTACTTTTTTACCTCAACCTTTTGGGTGCTATAATTCTGCTTATGCTTATTATCTACAGATTATAGGCTTGCCAGTTTTTAGCTTCATAAATTATATTCTATGAACGCCCGCATACACCTAAATTTTAGCACTCTTCTCTTTTAAGTTGTCATGCCTGTGAACGCATGCTGACACAAGATCTTGTAAGTCAGATCGAATGTCTCCCTGAACGGGTTTCGGTCGACAAAGCAGGTAACCTATGCTTTGTCCACGCTTTTAATCCATCTTCGCCCGGATTGGATGAGACGATCGCGCAGACAGTTAGGCTCTCGGATGTAGGCTCCACTCACTCGATCTCGAACGGAACTGAAAGAGGGGGTTCTGGGCGTGATAAGGAGAAAAGCTCTCACAGTGTCAAACCTCCAACGACTGCTGCCTCCACCTCTAACTCTTCACAAACAAAACCACCATATGGTAAGCAATCTCAGCATTGTCGTCTATATTTTAATTGAAATGATTTTAATCATAGATGCAACTTGGTATATACTAATGAAATGCAGGTTTCGAAGAGTCTCTTCATATAGGAGTGTTGTAAAAACTTTCATTTCGTATGAAAGTGCATGATGAAGGGCTTCGTAGGTCGATCTCATCAGAAGCAGACGTCTGATTTCAGTTATACTGCAGCCTCTTGGTTTTAAAACGACGTTAAGGTTTATGCAATCCACGAGACCTCCTCCTTTCGCCAGCATCATCAGTGAAAAACTCCATCTTCACTTGTCACTTTGAGAAGTTGTAACTCTGTCATTA